GGCCATCTGAGCAGATTGTCACATAGGAGCGCTCTCACAAGAAGGGGTGTGGGGCTTCAGGCTCCCAACAAAAAATAAAACATAAGACAATATAAATGCAATAATGTAATGAAAAAGCTAATTACAAGATTTATTTTTAAAGGTGATTCTTAGGGGACCATAAGTTTCAAGTGTTATGACATACGTCTCTCAGTCTTGTAAATGTGTCACCTCATTTGGCTATGTCACAAGTTTAAATGTGAAGCTCTGTGATTGTGAAACCTCTTGGCCACCCCCTGGATAGGCCCTGAGCACAAAGTCAGGCACATAGTAAGCACTTAAGAATAGCTAATGTTTATGAGCTCATTTTTGGTTTCAGACACTCTTCAAAGTTCAGCTTGCTATAAAGCCTGAACTATGTTCTCTTGGTTGCTTTTAATAGTACATTTACTACTCTGAAAAGTACAAACCACTCGAATATCTCTATGAAAATTAGGACAACTGACGTGTTATAATCTTAAAGACATTCAGCATAGTTCGGGCTCTTCTGTAACCATCAAGACATGCTGTCCTGGCCCTAGCCATGGTTCCCCGTGATCCTACCTTTTTTTTTTTTTTTTGTTCATAAGGAGATCTTAACCCTTGGCTTGGTGTTGTCAGCACCACGCTCTACCAAGTGGGCAAACTGGCCATCCCTATATAGGGATCTGAACCCATGTGGCCTTGGTGTTATCAGCACCACACTCTCCCAAGTGAGCCACAGCTGGCCCCAGGATCCTACTTTAAAGCACAGTTTACAGACAAACCTCACCTATGTTACTTCGTATACAGTTTCCTTTGGCCCTAAGCAGTTTGAAAACCCTCGAATATCAATATAACATTTTAATCAATCTTAGACTAATTTAGAAACAGTCATTTACATACATTAAGAATTATAAATTGGAAAAGAGAAATATGGAGCCAAAATACTCCTAAATATTACTAAACTTTAAACAACCAAAGATATGCTTTTAACCAAATTAAATTTCTCAGTGCAGTGGCCTGCTGATATATTAATTACTGGCTACAAACTACATTTGCAGAAACTTTCCTTTTAGAAATGTTTTTCATGGCCACATCATATATAGTGAGCAACTGTGGAGTAAAGCACTGTACTAAGCTGTCTAAAGAACAGAATTCATTTAAATAGAAATTACATTGAAACCTTTGTGAAAAATAATAATCCACTGAAGTCGTACGGGAAGTACAGTAACAAGTGCTAAGGGCAATGTTGGTGTGATCAAAGTAAAAGGCACAAAGTCAGGATTAGTTAGAGGAAGTCTCAAACTCCAGAAAGGGGGAGTCTTGAGTGTTTTGGAAGAGAAAGGTGTTAGATTTGTCCAAAACTGAAAGGAGTGACTTTGAGCCAGAGACATATATTGTGGATAGGTGATCTTAAGATTTGCATAGCTGTCCTGTGGGCTAAAGATGATGTCACTTATCTGGGAGGGTAACTGAAAAGTTTTTATAATTTGGCAGCAACTGCAGGCTACTGCAGATTTCTAAAGAGTAATTTTTAAAAAGTAGTTGAGAAGTGAGAGGCAAGGGAGCTCTTGAAATTAGCTAGATGGGCCGGTTAGCTCAGTTGGTTAGAGTGTGGTGCTGATAACACCAAGGTCCAGGGATTAATTCCTATACTGGCCAGTCACCAAAAAGGGGGGGGAGGGGCTGGCTAGTTAGCTCAGCTGGTTAGAGTGCAGCCTTATAACACCAAGGTCAGGGGTTGGGATCCCTGTACCAGCCAGCCACCAAAAGAAAAAAAAAAAAATCTGAATGCAGTCATTGGAACTAAAAGAAAAAAACGTAATAAATCTTGGTGATAGGATGAGGGTGCAGGAGATAGGCTAGAATGAATTTAAGGTTATAAGCCTTGGAGCAACCAGGAGAAGATGGCAGCTGTCAAGCACAAGGGGAAATTGAGTCAGGCTGAGGGCTTCTTGTGAAGAAAATGAGTTCTAAACAACCAGTTCAAAAAATAGGAATAGACCTAGCAAGAAGGCCAGGGATGTGGACCAAATGGAATTTGCAGGCTTGGAGACACACATGTAAAATGAATGCCAGAACTCCTGGGGAGTGTGCTATAAAGAAAGAACAGGCCATGAGCAAAGGCTTATTGGAGAGGGGGGGGAACCTTCAGCAGTGAGAGATGACTGGCAAAACCATCATCAAGGTTAACAGGACATGTCCTTAACATGGAAGTCAGAAAGGACAGTATTCCTGGGCTGTCAGTCATAGCTCCTCCAAGCTTATCCTGAATTCTCCCAGAGTCCACAAAAGTTACCAAAGGCAGAAAAGATGTGTTCCTTCCTCGAGTCCAGCTTTGAACCAGTGTCTTCAGAGAAAGGGGAACAGGTTTCAAAATTCTGACCTTGGGAGCTAGAGTCAGAGATGCCCCCTCCAACCCTGTTGCAATCGGGCAGGAAATTCACGTCTAACTCAAGAGGCAGCTGGGGCTTCAAACTTTTCACTTCAGTTCCAGGAGCAGGGTGGTTGAGGAACAGCTCTGGCCTAGCCGAAGGTTGGAAGGATTTCCCACTCTGACGCCGTGACTTGGCACGCCTGTTCTGGAACCACACCTGGAAGAGGGGGGAAAATGTTATGGGGTTCTTATGCTAGTATTGCATTCACAGTTCATACCGACAAGTTCCAGCGTAACGTCCCCTGGCTCCCTGCTCCAGAGCCTTATGCTTTTCAGAAAGCACTTGGGCTTAAAGGGCAGAGCACCTGGCTTTCTCTGCCTCACCATTTCCAGATGCAAAATTGGAATTATGCCTATTTCCATCTATACTTTATATAGAGACATTATCAATGAAAATTGGGGCCACAGAAATAGAAGCACTTCAAATTCTTAGGAAGAAAATGCTACTATGCTTCAAGATGATGTGTTCGAATTATTTAAAAAATCAGTTTTGGGAAGTCTGTACCCCCTTGTCAAATTAATCAAGGAGATATTTTGCTCAGTAGACTTCACTTCTATGGGTTTTCCTTGTTTCGTTTTTTGTTTTGATGGCTGGTGGGTACAGGGGACCTCACTTCCATGAGTAAATTTTTCTGCTCAGTATTTCCCCACAAATAAAGGCGTCCTGCTTAGGAAGCCTCTGTGCCAACTGTTGAAACTGACAGCTGTATGACCGTCAGGGGTGCAGAAAAAACAGTCCACTCTTTCCCAGTGTTTAAGAGGATTCCTACTCAAAACTGCACTTGGACACAGACCAAGGAGCTAAAGGCTAATAGGCAAAAAGGCAGGCTTCCCACCACCAACTCCAGGATTCTGATCTAAATTAGACAATAAACACCCTGTACTAGAATTTTCAGACTGTGACAAGAAGCTCCAGATGCTTCAGGCTTTACCCTAACATGCTACATCCTCTCGAACCAAAATCCCAGAGCCAGTACCAGCCGATCAAGTGGCCCAGAAGGTAACTCAGCTTCCATCCCCAAGCTCAAAGCCAGAGGGAAACCCTAACTGCGCCCCATCTGGGTCTGCTTCCTGGATAAGGAAAAAGTGTAAAACTACTTCCTATCACCTTCCTGCTGGGGATTGACTGTTTCAAGGGACCAGCTGGCCTCCTAGGGGCCTTTATTATATCTAACAATGCGAGACAGAAGTCACTGAGGCATGCCTGAATTACTTCATTTAAGCCTCACAACTCAGTGCAAATAGGTGGTTTTATCCCTACTTCACAATCTAAGAACACTGAGCTCAAGGGGAGCAACTTGCCCAAGTCCCCCAAGTAAGTGTGCGCCGGAGTGTGGCCCAAGAAGCCCGAAAATCCCGGCTTCGACACCCCGGGGCCTCCCCTCCAAGGCACCTGCGAACGCGGCGGGCCGCTCACCTGGATCCTGGACTCGTGGAGCAGCGTGAGCGCGGCCAGGCGCTCTCGCAGGTGGATGTCGGGGTACATGGTCCTGCGGAAGACGAGCTCCAGCAGCTGCAGCTGCTCGGGGCTGAACGACGTGCGCTTGCGGCGCTGCGACGCCAACGGGGCGGCCGCGCCTTTGCGGGGCGCAGGCGAGCCCAGGCCGGCAG